AGAGAGAGAGATATTACTGGTGAAGAAATAATACTTTTTGTTCATGCAATGACCTAACCAACAAAACAGACAATTTTAGGTAGTTTTAGGGTGTTGAGAAGAAAGTAAGTCAGCATTACTTTGAGCGATTCTGCTGAATATTAAGTAAAAATGCTAAACAGCTCATTAGAGCGTAGCCATGCGGGAAAACAAATAGTGGAACTACTCAAACTGCAAAACAGACATGTCCAAAAGTTGATTAACCAGGCAATTAATCAGGCATTGTTACCCTCCTTCAACTGCAGGCAAACAACAACCAATCTGGCAGAAATTTTTTTTTTCTGGTTTTGTGTTTATCTGTAGTCTTCAGCTTACATCTTCATCTTTTTAACCCGTTAATCCCGTTAATCCGTAAAAGCGGACCTTTCTGCGATCTCTTTTTGTGGGTAGTACAGGGAGGCAGGGCTAAGGAAAGGGTCAATTGCATTGTTTTCTTACCGTTGGTGTCTCGCATCTCCTCCTCTCTCTTCTTCATGTAAGCAAAATCATTGACAATGGACTCCGACAGGTCCTCCAGTCGCCTCAGCTCGACCTCAAGGGGCTTCAGCTTCTCCACCTTGGCAATCTGGAGAGACAAAAACAGAAGCAACTTAATCCAGAGACAAGTGATGCCTGAGAAGACGATGGAGGGAAAGATAGAACGACTCTTGAAGCGGTACCATTATATACTTTGTCCAGCAGGTGTCACTCTTAGGCTATGAACTCTGGTCAAGTCAATGATATTTGTACAGCCTAACATCACAAATGTGCCTCAAGAAGGAGCACAGCTTGTGTGTTTTGATCAAACTGTGGTTTGCCATCTACTCCTGCTCATTTAGGCAGGTGAGAAAGCGGCCTTTTGAACTCTGGTGGGAAGTGAACAGCTGCACCGCCAGAGAAGGCGGAGCCCAAAATGAACCAACCACAGGATTCTGTGATATGAATGTGTGAAGTGGACAAATGTAACTGCTAAACTGAAGTATTTTACAAGATGTGTCTGATGGCTATGGCAGCCATTTTCCTTCATGTTGAGGTGCAGGACACTTCCTTTCCTTGATGTAGAAGTTTGTTGTTATTTTATTAATGATTGAAGTCCCGTTGCAATCTCAACCAATAATGCTCACAACAACTATTGCTCTTTTAGCTCAATTTGCTGTCAGCCACAAGAATGAACGTGTTCTCTGTATGCTGTTGAAGATGCAGGACAGGTCACCAAACCTGCCCAGTGAACAGGTCACCTGTCAGTCCATGTGACTTGTGTTTACAACTTTTGACACTTAATTAACACCTAAACAGCAACAAAGCATCGTTCTCCCTTTTGTCCAGACCAAATGAACCAAACTATAGCCTTAAACTGTGCAGCAGCCCAAGACGTGGTGATTTTCCCTTTGTGGATGTTGCATAGTAAAATGTGCCAAGTACACATTGCCAAACATTGTGTAAGAGATGGGGACTCTTTGAGCGATACATTATGTACAGAACAGCTTGCACATTTTTCTAAAACACACCCATCTATGTAGGTAAATACAATTTCAGCTCCACCCTCACGACAGGTAGGCCCACGCGAGTGCTCCCTGAACACACACACACACACACACACACACACAATAGGACAGAATGTCATGTTTGTGCAACAGGAGTTGTAATACTATACTTATTATTATGTGTTGCTTGACGCAGTCACAGTGTGATCCATTCTCAGAAGAACCACCAAGTAATGCAAGAGATGATGCACAACGATGTGTCCCAACTTAGATAAATATTGACAGAAAAGGAGCTCCTCCACTGATCTCCTTATTTTATGCAACGGGGCACCTCGACGTCATTATGTTTCGACAATGACCACTTGGCAATGCCACTAAGGTTCCCCCTCAGGTAAACACATTTAGCTCCGTCAGCACGATTGCTGTAGTTTGTACTGTTAGCGCTTTTAGCACCGTTAGCTACAACTCACCTGCTCAGGCGTCGACATGTTGAGAGCTGCTGAAAGGTAATCAAAATGATCCTAATCTCCTATTAGGCACCTTTAATGTGGCATAATTGTACGTTATGCAGTATATCCTGCAGTTTCCACAGCTCAACTTGATTTATTATTCTCATGAACTGCTTATTTTGATATTGTATAACAGTTACAGGAAACGGAATGTGTAACTGATCTCATTTTGTTTGATAAATGACGGCCTTTATCCTGCCGAGGGGTATACTTGCAAATGTAACCGAGTGGGTCAATCTGCAATTTCTTATTTAGGACAATTGGGTGACCTGTAACACTTCCATAAGGCTCAGAAATGTATTAAAGTGGAACTGCTTACTATTTTAAACCAGAACAGTGAATACATGTAGTGACATGTAGTACATGCTGCGAGACCAATGGCCCACATCCACCGACCTCGTCTCCAAACTGCAAGTCATTATCTGCAGAATCTGTATCTTTGTAACAAAAGAAAGTAAACACTTACCTCTTCGTAGTTTTTAGCCTCCACACCATGCTTCATGTCCAGATTGACCAGCTGGTCGGGCACTCTTCCAGTCCCTAGTTGAAAAGAGCAGAGAATCTAGCATCATAGGCATATAACCGAAATACAACATCTTGAATTGTGTTCACTCATTATGCTTTGTAAACGTGGCCTAGATCCAGAAAGCCTTCATTTAAATAAACTAAGAAACCAACTAAGAAGCTTTTCAGTGTTATTCCATATCCTTATTTTTCAACAAACTGGAGCAAAACATTTCTCACAAACTCAGACACTCAAATCTTACTCAATAAGTCATAAACTAATTGTGCCTGTTGATATTAATACTCTATGTATATTTTTCAGTGAAAGAATAATTAGGGCTGTCCTCGACCAACACTCATAAGATTTCGTAAACGATTAGTGAATCTAAAAGTATCTCCACAAAGAATGACACAAAAGCACAACTTTAAATCTTGTGTTTATGAGTTTCTTGGAAATAAGTGATTCAGCATGAAAAGGCATTGGAAAACAATGACTAATCAACTAAATAAATCTTAGTTGACGAAGAACAAAACAACCAATTACTCAACTAATTGACTAAGAGGGGGCATAACTAGGAATTTTTAATAACGTGGAATTTGCTGAGTGAGAAATGAATGATAGTTTTGTGCGTGTGAACACTTACCCATGGGTGATTTGCTCTCAAAGCACACCTCAAACATGTCATAGTCCTCCGTGGTGAATGCAAACTTCCCTTTAACTGCATCTTCCTTGGAGTAAAGAGTGTGGCTGGAGGAATCTGTGATCTAAAGAAAGTTAAAGAAAATAATGAAATAAAATGTAATGATTTCAACTTGCGCTCCAGGTAATTGCATTTTACTTTTTTTAAATGTCTGTTCTTTTGTAGATTACACTATAAATTTAAAAACAGAAACCATAATAAAACTAAGTTACATAAACCTCCAATTGACTGCATACAAACTAGTGTAAACATTAATAAAGGCTGGTGATTACCTCATTAATATCAAACCAGTCGTGTCGATTGTTATTTGGCAGCTGTTATAATATGGAGACTTCCAAAATCCTTTACTTGAGTAACTAACGTTAATAGGTTCATTACATTTATTTTGTAAGATTGACCACCCTTGTATGACGTATGGAGGAAATCTTAAGACCTCATTCATTACAAAAATATAACAGTGACGTCACACAAATAAAGCTACAAGCTGTCATTGACATGTAGGCTAGCTGAGGTTGCTAACGTCGTTAGCTTCTTGACTACAAGCTGCTCCTGTAAGACTGACGTGTAACAGCAGCAGTGGCGAGCCGGTGACAGTGAACAGGATTATTCCACATGATACAATAACCCAATACTAGTGACATAAACACCACGATATGTGAATAAAGCAGTGTGCATTGGTGCGTGTTAGAAATTGCTTTTTTAACAATATTTTTAGCGCGCATTGAAGTTAGCTAGCTAGCTAATTAGCAACTAAAAACCAGGAAGACGTGTTTTTCGGGGCCTAGATTAGCTACAATGCTAACAACAGTTGTCACCAATTGCAGCCGCACTCCACCAACAGTTGAGACTATTTTATCACACGCTATGGGTTTAATTTGTAGCGGTAGTGTAATTAAACGTAGACGTTAAGAAACTGGAGCCACGTCGGCCTCAACACAGACCGGTTACGTTAACGTTAGCTAGTCGCAGGTCTGTGCTTACCTTCAGATTAGTTTTGGTGTTCGCCTGTTCGGATATCTCGTACTCCCCCGTGACGAGGACGTCTTTGTGGATCTCCTCCCGTAGACACTTTCTCGAGTTGACCGGTAAAAAGAAAGAAATGGAAAATACCGATTCAATAAGAACCGGTAGCAACAGTATCACAGCGATTCGAGCCATGGCTACCCTCAACCTACCGACCAACTAGCCCGTGCCAGCCAGCCAGTTTAACACCGAGTTCCAGCTCACACAACCGGTCTGACTGAGCCCTCTAGCGCCGCCACTGGCCTGGAGGAATAAGCACAACTACCGACTCTTCCCCCGTGAGGTTGTAGTGGGTTCAACCTGTGTGTGCATGGCCGTATACATCTGTTTGTGTCCCCTGGATGTCTGGCCAGATGCACACTTTGCCTTCTTATTGGTTTGGCCTCGTCTGCAACGTTACAAGCACTGGGGAACAATTCAATTGCCAACATTAAAAAAAGTCCTAGTGATGCAATTCGAGCACAGAAGCTCTTCTTTTAAACCACATCTCACTGTCTTCATCTGCAGATAGTGCTAGCTGAGGTGTAATACCTTGATGTAAAAGAAAGTGGTCTATATGGGACCCATAATGGGAGAGATCGGAGGGAGGAATGAGTTTTTTGACAGGTTCAGGCACAGGTGGTTTCAAGGGGTGGCTGATGAGAATCCCAAATGAAACACCTAAAGATATCTGCTGACATAGACAGAACCCAGAGAGGAAAACTGAAGTAGAGTGTGACATAGTGACATGTTTTGTAGTCATGGACATTGCAGTTTGTAGGATACAGGTACCCCAAAACAGTGTATTTCTAGTTATAGGGATAACCTGATCTCATAATACAGTATAAGAAAAACAATAAATAGTACGCTATTATTTCAAATGTACAAATATAGGAACAACAGCACACAGTACAAAGGGCCCAGCGATGCAGTGGAACAATATAGTGGGTTTAAGAGTATACAGCAGATCATTTTACAAACAATTTAACTACTTTTGAGACAACTAAAGCTTTTGAGAATATTCTACTGGGGTCCTTACATAGACTACAGTACATTTATGACCCGGGCCCCCTAGTGGGTAGAAATGGTTATATTCCTGAGAATAATTATGAGAGTGGCAGAGTGTGGGAAGACTGCTAACAAGTAATCTCAAGGTAGAGAAAAAACCCACAGTAGAGTGCTTTCACTTACTTTACAGAGACTTACAGAAAAATACCCTTTTGCAGATCCTTGACACCAGTCAGGGTCTGGTCTGTTGTGGTACTGTACTCAAAGTGAGACCCTGTTTCATACCACGTAATCTCTCTTTGAGAGTATGCTTTAGCTGAATAATTGATGATTGATATACTTCCATCAACTGCAGTTAGACTAAAATATTTGAACATTTTTTTGTGCTGGTCTTCAAACTATTTACATTTAGCTTATTGTTATTCAAGGATTTTAACAAATGTCATCAATATTTACAGTAAATGCATAATAATCCACCCTTTGTGGGCATGGTAAATCTGGGTTACGAAACAGACATATCATGCTCAGTGTTCGGCTGGGGTATTTTGAAAATCCCAAAAGCTATTATTTTTCTGTCAGCAGCTCAAGGATTACCCAATTACATATGATAGAGCTGTCCAGTTTCCAGGGAAACATCCTTGCTACTGATACCGCACGACGAGACGAGGAAATGCTGCTGTGTGGGGAGTCTGGCACTACGTGAACAGTAATTATTGGATAGAGAAATCCCTTCAGTATTGTAGCTTAGTGCGTCAAATAACTGCTAAGAATAGCATGTCACACACTCCTCCAGGCTACCGAGTTTTAAGGCTGGAAATGAAATTCACAAAACTTTCCTATAACTATGACCAATCTACATTTTTACATCTTCTAACCATACTAAAATCCCATCAAACCTCTTTGTGCTTTCAGTGATTTTCAATACTCAAGCATATTTTAAACAGGGGTGAGGTGCAGTGTTGACCAACCTTTTTTTTTATCACCTTAGGTCACTGATTCAGCATTGCATGTCAGAGTGGAATACATAAGTGTCTACACACCCTTCCGTTGATTGCATTGTTATCACCTCTGGATACTAAAAATACAAACAAAAATCAGACCGTACGCTGATAAGAGCACAGAATACAGACTGAGTTCAAACATACACTACCGTTGATGAAGACAGACTGTGCCACAGAGACTGAATATTATGGAATGGCTGCATTGTGTCAGATGGACTCCCAGTAGACAGAAAAACAATGAAAGGAATGGGTCAGGAATAAATGTAATTTGCTGCAGTAAAACTTTAAATCGGTGTCATTGTATATGCCCTACTGAGTAACTGTGTATCACTTACAGGCACAGGGGGAAGACACTGAAGTATTCATGGTTTTGTAAAGCTTTCATATCCTGTCTCGACAAAAGAAAGGTATCAGTGGATGGGTTTTCTGTGAACATGGAGCCGAGCCAAACTGAGATCTTGTCATCATGGCATGGAGGCAAACTCGACTGTTTCATCATTGCTGTGCTCACAATTACACCCAGGCAGAGGAATCTCTGTCTGCCTCCCTCCCTGCTATCCTCATATATACTCATCATTTTCTCCTTCCCTCCTCCTCCCCTCGCCTCGCTTTTCCTTCCCTGCTCTCTTTCTATCAGGCTTACGCTGCCTGGTTCCTCCCTTGGGTTGCAGCACCGACGCAGGTTGGCGTCATAGTGGTCTAATTTTACTGCTGTTGATGCTGATGTTAAAAGAAGCAATAGGCACCTGCTATTTCTGCTGCTACCCCTTCTCCCTGGAGCTGGCAAAGAGGTATTAATAGACAGTTATTAGGTGCTGCATGGTTGCACATTGAGGCTTTATTGAGGGAAAAAAAGGGCTCTGCTTAAGTGCAAAGGAAAACAGATAGGCACTCAGAATTCAGCTGTTATACAACAGCACAGTGCTAACAAAACAAGAGGATTTGTGGAAACAGTTTCGATCTAAGTTAGTGTTCTGCAAGAATCAAGGAAGTATGTACTTCTGCAAATTTAATTCTCTATAAAAAAAATATTGCATGCTTTTTGATGTTGTACTTTGGACGAGCAGGCCTGTATCCATACAGGAAGCAAAGCAACAACTGCTGATATCTTCGCTGTATTGCACAAAAAAGGGTGCGTCCACACTGGAAGGGAACGCACGTCAGAGTAAGTTAGTTATTGTGCGATGGTAGTCTTCCACCCCACCAAGTCCTTCACATCAGCACACCACACGTTTCCTGTGCAAAGCCATTTAGCAATCCGCCTTCCGATGATTCTTCTTATGATGAATTATTGATTAAAGGTGAAATGAGCAAGTGGGATGAAATAATTACAAGTAAAAAGGGAGTGGTATGATTTGATGACAAACTGTGTAACAGTAAAATGAAATTGCTAACTCACCTGATATGATAATGGTAAAACTTCATCAGGTAGTTTGACCTCATGATCACTCAGTTTTATTTAAAATATAATGAATCACTGACCATTGTTTATGTTAGTGATGGATTTACTGCCTTTTGGCCTTCCAAAAAGAAAGATGGATTGCATTAGTGTATACAAAGCCAGACAGAAAACTCCCAGCTGTAAGATGTACCTGAACCATGATGCTGAGATTAAAAAGAAAGCACCCAGGTGTTCTAAATGATATGGAAACTTACAGATTAAGTGATACTGAAGTAAAAAGGGATGTGTTCACAATAGCACATCTTGAGTCACATAGGACTTTTCAGTCAGGAGATAGCTGACAGGGAGTCTATATATCACTGTCTGCCAGCAGACCGTCACTGTTACTTCACCAACAACCAATGGAAAAAAAGATAATATGCTACACAATTCTTTTTATCACCATCTTTCAAATTAGATATTTACATTTGACCCACTCATCCTTCATGGCATTAGGTTTGACCCAGTTGTCCTTTTCAAAGAGCTGCTTTTAGAGTCTGTTTCGTGGGAATGAAGAGTTCGAACAGGCAGAATAAACCCACCAATTTGCACTTCATATCCAGCTGTCTGCATGCCCCAGACCATTTGCACACAAAAAAAACTCAGCTAAAGAGGGATTAGTCCAAACTGCTGTCCGTGCATTTATACATTATTTCTGAGCGCTGCTACTCTTGTCTTGCATTGTGCTGTAACACACGTGTGTGTCTTTGACTGTGGGAAGTGATATTTTTTGTGACCTTCCGAGAGAACAGAATAAAGTACACCAGTGTAGATCGTGGTTAAAACGTTACTTTCGGATCCTATATGGCGAGTTGTCTTGCGTAACCATATGTGTGTGCAGCGGTTGTCTTGCAGCGAGCTGAGCACATAAGAAACGCATATATTTTCGTTTGGGGAAGTATTGCCTGGCGTTTTCCGCTTTTCTATAATCCAATAAGCAAATCAGATTTCTCCAACGACGAAACGCAGAGACAGATACTTAGAGGTATGTGTTTTAGTGGAAAAAGCCCGTCTGCATTCTGCTGGCACAAAGCAGCAGCAGCAGCGGATTTTAGTAGCGTTCTATATTTGGGCACGGAAGTACGACGTCATCGCGCTATGTTTGCAAAATTGAAAAAATGGAAAGAACGCACTGACGTAGGAGCCCTGACGTGTAGTTAACCTTGGCAACAGACGGAACAATAAATAGAACCAGTGGAGATGCAGGAAAAAGACTGCGATCCCGTATGGAGGCTAATTTTAGGCACTATTTTAATTGTCTGTTGAATAGCACTGCCATCCTATCTCACCCCAGAGAACATGTTTATGTATGCGAGTACATATAATAAGGAGAGTGCCACAGATTCAACCACACAGGTTATTGCATTTAAATAGCACTATCTTTTATTTACAAACAACAGTCATCTTTACTCTCTCTGTAAAAAAATAAATTGAAATTTCATAAATTAAAATCACTAATGTTTTCACAGAAAACTTCATAGACCACTCAGACCATCATGGTTAAGACAAAACACGTCAGTTTTAAGTTTTTTTTTTCACAAACAGTTCACAATTACTCTCACAGTCCATTAACCAGAAAACAAACTGGATCAACAATAACTATTGCTCTGAACACATCAACACCACAACACGTTTTGTTATCTAGCACCAATAAATCATATATGAACTCAATAAACGACTAGGTGGTATTATTTGAAACATGCTTTTTAACTTGCTACATCGGTGTAATAGGCAAGTATCGATAAAGGCAAATGAAATCATAAATAATTTGCTTCCTGGTAAAAG